TTATTTCAAGTCTGGTGCAAAAACGCGTGATCGCACCGGCTCGCCTGGTGCGTTCCAGTCTGGGTTGAAAGATGGTCCGCGAGCTTAAGTAAGTATGTAAATCAGTCCCGTGTTTCGCCAAACTAGTCCAGAACGATGGAATAGTACTTTTCATACCGCCTTTCTTATAAAAATCTGCCTTTTAAAGTGCTAAATTCGCTCGATAATTCTAGATGGGATGAACAACAGCGCCGCTTTTAACATGGAGCTCTGTTCTTCATTTATCAGAGACACCGTGTTGAAAAGCAGGGAACCCTGTGGCAGTCGATATCAAATTTCGGATTCCAACCATCAAAGTACTTACTTTCGGAGGATCATCAGTTCCAGCTGCTGCTCTCTTCTCGGTTTCAAATGAAATTGTCACCGACTGCTGCTGCATTTGCTTTTGGCGTTGAGATGGGAATAACTTCGACACCATTCGTGTACTGATATCAGCGAAGCTGTTTTTTTTCGCTAAAATTAAATCTACAGAAGGGTACAGCGTAATCGAATGTATTTGGAGAAAAAGGAAAGAATTCAGGCCTAAGTTCTAGATTTGGCTAATTTTTGAGGTTTTTACAGCATAGCAATATTGTTTCAATTACCTAAACTTGACGAAATCAAGGAAAAGTCAAAATCGCCAACGGATTAACTACCTGGCGAAGTCAGAGCAGTGAAAGAGTTGCAAACTGCATGCTTCAAGAATGATACTATTAATTGCAGATGATCAGATTATCAAAGTAATACTGATAAAAGGAAGTCCTTTCCACTATTGTTAACATTTTTTCCTAAAAAGTGGGCTGAAGGCGGCTCCACTTTCCGCTAAACTAAGCATTCAGTTTTTAGCCTACATTGAATATGAATCGAGCAAGACACAGCAGATTGGTTTTTTTTTAAGCCATAAGCGTTGAACTATAAATATCTTGTCCAAGACGACAGAAACCCAGGCTGGAATGCACTGGGCGGGCCAGTGCGATCATGCATTTTTGCACCGGACTTGAAGTACTCAGGTCATTAATTGCATGAATGGTGCTGCTTTACACATACCTTCGCGGTCACTAGCATAAATTTTGCAAAGCAAATGCACAATTTCCATTTAACAGTAGTTCTTTAAAAGTAACTTAGTTGTTCAGTGAAAAATTTTTTCGTCAAGACTTTAAGTGCCCGTACTTAAGAATCACGTATACCTCAAGGCTGATTTTGAAATACCTAAGTTGTACTTGGACGGGGAACATTCCCTTAAAATTTCAGCTTTCCAGCTTTGCTGGTTCCCCAGTTAGCAATTTTCCCGCTAAAAAGTTCATACGCCCTCATGAGTACCACGCATACCCAGAGGCTGAATTTGAAATCTTCAGCTAGAGTAAATGGGGTATGGATGTGGTGGTCGCTGTGACGTGGGGTACATAGGGGAGC